ATGACAAAAAAAAGATACTTTGTCCTTAAAACATTCATATTAACCATTTAGATAATCTAATCTAGTTTGGTTCCCGATCGATAAGTAACAGTGGAGTCGCTGAACGGAATAATATATTTTATCAACAGGGGTATTCTGTGTCTATCCTGCGGAAAGCTCTCTCATGTTGTCATTGATATTCTTATATTGAGGATCGTTATCGTGTGTACCGAAGCGAAATATGACGGTAATTGTCTTCTACATATATGTAGGTAACTATACAGAAGGAAAAATGCTACAGACTATACTGTGACTGCTTATTTCAACTACCTACCTATTTACTTTGATCATTCTAACAACGACTACCTTGTTAGTCGAATAGTCGCTAGTACCACTGCTAAGTAAATAACTAGGGTTCGATTTTCTAGTCGGGAAAAGTGACATTGTAAAAAAATGGAATGAAAAAAAAACTGCGCAGTCATAACTGCACGGTTGGTGCGGTGGCTGGGCAACCGGCTACCGCGCAATGTCTCGCGTGATCCACAAATTGTTGTTTCGGTTCTAGATGTTATGTGCATGTGAAATTATATGTTTCTGCACCCCCGATAATTAAACATATAGGAAATCTTAGTGTGGGGCATTGTGTTTTAAGAAAAATTGCGTTGTTTGCTTTTGAATATAAAAATACAGATTTTTTGCACGCTCGGAATACAATTTACAAATTCAGTCAGTTCATAAATCTCGTCGGGCTGTGTGTGGTCACTGTAAGGATTTGCCGTGGCTGGCCTCAGCCCATAGCCCACAACGTTACCGCAACGTCCGCAATAGTACTGAAATTCTGGAAATCTGCTTGTTCCCAATATATAAGAGTCTAATATCATAATATAATGTACCTTGTTGCCAACGGAAGATTTGCTTACACAAAAGCAGGAAGAAAGAAGATTATTAACATTTGCAGGTGGTTATTAAGATATTACTAATTATAGTTGTGGTAATAGACACAATATTGGTGCGACTGGTTGCGCGACCGCTATCATCATCACCATAATAATTTTAGCAGACGTCCACTTAAACGGAGACCTCACCCTATTACTTCCAGATCCAGCTGGTAGGAAACAACCAGCGACTATAGGTGACCAATAAACCTAAGCTCTTGAAGTTATTTGTAAAATAGTCAGTTAAACAGAAAACTTCTGTAATATGTGGAAGAACAATGAAGAACAATGCTTCAGCGCGAATTGGCCGGCTCGACTGAAGTGGTACCACGGCCTTGCAGAATAGCGAGGTGAAACAACGCTCACGTTAAGTGTGAGTAAGGTGACCTGCGGCACAATCCTTCTTTCTATGCTTTCCCCTTCCACCCCATCCTCTATTCCCTTAAATCATAGACGAAAATCTATGCCTTAAATCCACTATCCTTAAATCGGCAATAGCCTACAAAAAGTCGGCAAAGTACTTGTAGTAACTCAGTTATTTGGTATTCATGTGTTAATAAAATCTTGAGACTAAGCAAGTCCTTCAGAGAACTACTAATTACATAAATTAATTTAATTATATGTGAGTAAGTAAGTATGTAAGTATACAATTTATTTGCATGAATGTGTCAAATAAAATTTTAAAGATATAAAGTGTCAGTCTATCGGTCAGTCCTCTTAGTGAAGCTATTTGCTCGTTCCAAAGTGTAGATTCCGATGGAGAAGAACGAGCAAGAAACTCCATGGTTACTCTTTTTAAATCAGTGTCACATAAAGATTCTTTGATACATTGCCGCTTCGAGATAATTGTGGAATAATTATGAAAAGAATGGTTCTCCCGAGTCCAATGTCTATGAAACGTAAATGATGAAGACGGAAAGCATTAAATTTATTTAAAAAAGTATTTGTAAAATAGTGTGGTGATCTTTGATTATATTCCTTATTCCAGACTCCGTATTACAAAAACTAAAATTTACATATATTTTCGCATAGCAGGAATATTCTACCTAATATCAAAGCCAGAGAGCAGTCGTAACATGAATTTAAATTACAATTTCACATTTCGGCTACTCTGAAATGATATTCATATGTATGCACTTGGTTGATTTTTTCTCGCATGCTCAGTTTTGTAATATGCATATTACCTGGCCTTTGTTCCGAGTCTCGCTAACGAGCCCTGTGAACTTTAAAAACAACATTTTCATTTATTTTACTTACAAATTAAATTATTATACGCCACGGGGTGGTCATTTAATACGAGAAAGTAATTTGGAAAGACCGAAATTGGCAGTGCTATTATGTTGAAATTAATTTCTGAATCCATATAGAGATTGAAGTTTCGTATTTTAGTAAGTACGTGATTTCAACACTATAGTCAGACTTTTAATTCGATTCCTGATTTGACATTGACCACTGTCATTTTGTGAAATAATGATACCACATATAACAGTGTAGTGATGAACACAAACAATCGATAAACAATCAGTGAATCAGTTTCAGGAAGGCATTCAAAAAATTACGGCTACTGAATGGTCTAAATGTGTATCCCATGTTTTCAAAGAAGAGGAAAAAATTAGTAAGCTAGATATTATAATTGACAATAAATATCAAAGACACAATTCATAATAAACGTTACATAGAGTAACGGCGATAGCGATAGCGATGACGGCGACAATTTATAAAATGTCTGTTTTATTTGTCACGTTCCTTCATGATCACATTTTTAATTAATTTCACACACAATTACAAAAGAAAAGTCTTAGATCGTTAATTAATTGTCAAAACTAAATTATCGGTTTAGAAATATTTTATTTCCTGATAAACTTAGTTTACGAGAGTAAATTTATAAACGAGAAGAATCGATTCAGAAATATTCGATTTCCATATCGAATAATTTCGCAACGTCACTATTTATTACGTGTCATAACGTTGCAACACTGAAATTGTCAAATCTGGAATGGAATTAAAATTCCGAGTATAATTCCACTAGGCGACGACGAAAGTGAGAAGAACTGAAGTTATAAATATTTCCCTGGTAGTAAAGATAATGTGACTCTGTGAAATCACCTTTAACCTTAACATTAAAATGACTTTTAACATTAAACATTTCATTTATTATCATCATCAGCCTGTTACTATCCCAAATATATACCTAAACAAAGAACAGGGGGCGTATTACGATCTCTTAATTCCAGTCAATTTACACCTTAAAATGAACTGCCTTGTTTATCTGTATTATGACGTCTTATTGCCAGTCAGTTAGCAGTCACGTGACACTTGACCGATTTCTGCACGTATATTGGCTGGCAAACCCGTATTATGACCAGCAAACTGACATTTCTTAGCTTGCTCAAATGTCAAAAATTGTGTCAAACAAACCAGTCAGTTTACGCCGGTGTCGAGTAGCTTTTACTGAATTGTTTTAAGTTTTTATCACATACTGTTTACTACAACATTAAATATGTGTGATGAGTTAATAATCTTCGAGTTTCTTGAAAGTGATGCGTCACAAGATAACCACCAAACAAACATTCAGAGGACGTGTCTTCGAGATCTTAGTGACCGTTTTGCGATTGGAGATGTTGAATTTATTAAGCGATACAGGCTTAATAAACAATTAGTCCACAACTTATGCGATGAACTGCGACCTCATGCAGCTACTGGGTCTACAAGGTCGTCGGATTTACCAATTGAAAGGAAGGTTGGTAATTTTAGAGTTTGTTCAAATTATAATAGATTTAGCCATTACTTAGTCTTAGATTCTGTATCTTGGGTATGTGTACTGTTAATGAAATCAATAAACTTACAAATTAAATATTCTTTCAGGTGTTAATTGCATTATCATTTTATGCTACGGGGTCGTATCAACGCCCTGTTGGTGATATATCTGCACACTCTGTAGCGCAGCCTACAGTGTCCGTGGTGATAAAGCAGATTACGAAATTATTGAATTCACCTCATATTCAAGCAAAGTATATAAAATAAATGGACTTCAATTGTTAAAAAACCCTTATTATAACAAAAAACTTTTATTTTTGCCGGGTGAGCTGTTATCACCTATCCTACCTCCTATTACTTACGTTCAGAAATGTAGCGTATGTCAAAAATGTATGTTTTGAGACAGTGCTGTATTTTCATATTTATGACATTGTACTTACGCATATAATACATAATTCGTTTTTGAACTCATTCTTAATCTCGATTCTGTTAGGAAATTACATTATATAATATATTACATTCAATTTTCAAAAACCGTAATATACCAGTAACCCTTTTAAGATGTTTTCGAACGCAATCTTTCAAGACGGTGCAAACCAACCACAGACAATCATCCAGGATGAATCCAGTCAGAAAAACGTACGTCATAATACGAAAAAGAACCATGCAGTTTACGGCCTTAAACTGACCTGCCAGGAAACAAACTGGATTTTAAAAAGGTTGTAATACGCCCCCTGATCTCCTCTCATTCAGAAAAAGAATAAACTAAGATATCTTCACTCGCTCAACGTGGATTGGCGCTTATAAGTTTCAGCCAGGGTTGCGAGGTAAGCGCAATAAGGACCCTGGGCGGGAGAAAAATTATTCAATGATGTTCCTAACACAAAAAATAACATTCCTATTTTACACATTTCTACACTTTAAGACTTTATTCAATTAATAAAATCTTTATGAAAGCTCCTTGAGTAAACTGTGGATATACATATAAAAGTTAATTTGTACCTACATAAATCTTACGAATATCAAATAGTACAGGCTTATTTATTTGCTATGTTACGTTCGGAGATGAGACTCCGCAGATTAATTTGTGTTTTGATTTTTATTACTTACTTGATAAAAATATCAATTAAACTAACCTAAAAAAAGTACATTTATAGGGATTATTTTAAATAACAGAATCGTATTCATTCATAAACTCAAAAATGTTAAGAGTATCTGCTTGGCTATTCACGCTTGGCAGAAGATATGGAGATCTCAGTTAAACTTGATATTGCTACTTAAAATGTGTAGTCAGATAGGCCTACGGAGATACGGAGGCCATTTACGGAGATGCGGCGCGTCGAGCATTTGTTGTACATTGCAGCTGCAGACCGCATCACCACTCGCATAAACACAAACGTATGAGCATTACGTGTAATGTATGACGTGCCGGATGGCGTCTTTGTAAAAGAGAGTTTTGATCGGCTTTTACGACCAGCCAGGGTTGCGGGTGCAAGCGGGCGGGTAATACTATACTGCGGCCCCGAACCGGAACCTAGGAGAAAGAACGGGATGGTTTTTAGTCAGTACGAGTCTGGCACTCTCTTCACCCCCCCTGGGTCAGTGAAGTAATTTCATAACGGATCTTTACTTATGCTATAAACAGATTCTTTGTCCTTTTTGCAGGTCCAGAGTCCAATGCTGGTGGTGGAGCTGAACCTGGACAGAATAGAAGGCACACAGCTCCGCGCGCTGGGCCTGCTCGCCGTGTACGGGTTCAACGTGACGTACGAGGTGCGGGCGGCCGCGCAGGCGCCGGGGCCCACCTCCTGCAGCGCCATCGAGTGCCGCCTGCTGGGACACTGCTATGCCAGCCATGATTATCAGTGAGTATTTTAGTAGTAGTTTAGAGTGAGTGAGTATGGAAGAGATATGCTACAGCACGAAGGGGTCGGCGCATCCGGAGCGATACCACGACCCCACAGAAATCGGCGTGAAATAACCGTTGGGTTTCGCCGTACGAATGAGGTAAGCGGAGGCCCAATCCTTCCCCTCCCCGAATCCCTCCCAAACCCTAAATCCCTAAAAGGTATGCAACGTGCTCTTAGCTCCTCTCTTGTTGCGGGTTTCCATGGGTGGCGCTTACCTTCCGCCTGTAACTAGGTAATCCAATAGCTCGTTTGCCATCCTATCATATAAAAAAAAAACAAGTCTACAAGTTCTAGGTAAATAGTTTACTTTTTTTTATGTGATAGGATGGCATACGAGCACATGGATTACCTGATGGTAAGCAATCGGCGTCGCCCATGGACACCCGCAACAAAGAAGGAGTTACGAGAGCGTTGCCGACCTTTTAAGGATTGGGATTTTGGGACTGGGAAGGGATTGGGGTAGGGGAAGGATTGGGCCTCCGGTAACCTCACTCACACGGTGAACCACAACGTTGTGGTTGTTAAACGCCGGTTTTCTGTGAGGCCGTGGTATCACTCCGGCCGAGCCGACCCATTCGTGCCGAAGCATGGCTCTCCCACACTTAAACTTTTAAACAAGCACCGATACTACTCATGTACATCTGTAGGTTATCCCCAGGTTTATTGATACTAAATAAAAATTATGAGTCTCTTTAAGAAATATTTGAAAGCCCAAGCTACTTATAAGCTTTCAGGTCCATTTCACAGCGGCTAAAGGAAATTAAATGTAAATTTAATAGACATTTTTGAACAAATGGTCAGTAAAATTTATGGTACTGAAGTTTCAAAAATCATTACATTGGAAATCCCATCAGTGGAGGCAATAGAGCGTGAATTATATTTATGAGAGCATAAATTTGATTCTGATGACAGTTTTAATCATTGATTGTACAGTGATCTGCAAGCTGTATACAGTTAATGAGTATCGTTCAGAAATGTTCTGCGTTGTTTATTTGGTCATTGCTAAAGTGAATACTGCACCCGAAGTTCACTGCAAAAAATATTTTCAATGAAAATAACTCACTGAACGTAAAAAATCATCAGGATCTCTACCAGCTGTAAGCGTAACAGAGTCAATAATAGCGACTTCAAAAAAAAATCTTAAATCTAATAGAGCATACATAGGTTTATATAATCAGCTGGTACCTACGTTTTTCTTATCAAGGGGGAAAATCATCAAATTACTGCTCCCGCAACAGTATACCGCGGCGGGATGGTGTTTTGTCAGTAATAGTCTGATATTCCATTCTCCACTCCACTATGAGTTAAGTCAAAGAGAGTGATTATCCCCTCAAAAAAATCAAATATTATTTACATGTTTGTTCTTTCCTTTCACGGGACCACAGGGTCCCGGACCTTTGGAAGGCGTACGAGGAGCCGAAGCCAACTCGCAGAGGCCCGCTGAACAGTTTTAATCTAAATGTGATGGGATATCAGCCGGTAATTATCCCTATATGCACTATAAAAGTGCACCCAAGGACAATCCCCGGTTGATGCAGGTTTCTACTTTAAGTACTATATTCTAAACGCTACGACGCCACATCCATCTTATTTAACTTTTTTATAGAACCTTTTTGTGTCTTAAGGGCGTGTCTTTAAAGATATAATCGTTTTTCCAAACCTTCAACTTGGAAAGTAAGGGTAGTAGCGCCATCTGTTGTCGAGTAGTGGAATTTCATTCAAAGTAACGCCATCTGTTGTGGAACAGTTGAATTTCATTCATTGACATTTTAGAATATTCAAAAACATAATTTTTTTTTTCACGCTTTTTCTGCGTATGCTATAGCTGCAGCACCTATTGCTACATTTGTTACGGCGGACGATAATGTCGAGAACATTCTATCTTACCCGGTCAGCTATAATAATTATGTAGCTTGCGTTATCTATACCCTGGACAATAAAATGAAAAATGTTTTTATATACAAGTAGTGTAAGGGAGAAAATGTAAATACATGCAAATATAGAAAAAATATTTTTCTTTACTTTTTACGTCATAGTATTTTTTTTATTTCATCCCTTACGTAGGTAAGGCATCATAGCTAGTAAGTACTATATTTTAAGAGAGTAAGTACAATAATGTAAATTCAATAGGTAATAGAATAGTGTATACTGGTGGGTAAGCAACACGTTGCATTTCACCGTGTGAAATGAGGTTCTATCGCCTCAGCAAAGCTCGGAAAAACGTAAAAAAAAAGTTAGATGATTGTCATTTTTTTTCAGGAGTTTGAACTCCTGAAAAAAAATTTTCCTTCCTTCCTTTTGTTTTGGGAGAAGATTCCTCTACACTTACACGAGAGCCGTGAAAACGTGAATCACTTTTATGTGTTTATGAAGTCGCTGTCAGAAACTAATAATAATATAAAGATTTAAAAGAGAAATAAAAACATAGGTATTGTAAATAATAAGGAGATGTCCACAGACAGATGGGTCAGGCCACCGTCAGCTGTATCTGCGCGCTCGGCTACACGGGGGACCTGTGCGAGGCCCAAGTAGCACCGCCTGGTGAGATATTTGTATTTATTTAAATATTAACAAAGACATTAAGATTTTAATGGATCAAAGTATTAATTAACAATATTTGCCATATGACAACTTAATACGCTCTCAATCCTACATAGTTGAAAAACACAGTCCTCGCAGCAATAAAAACCTACACTACTTACATTTTTTTCTCTGTCGTTCCTAATTCACATACCTTCACATTCCACTCAGACTACGGGTCAAAAATTTAATTCACCAATCCGTATGCGGACGCCGGCGTTAGCGCACGTATTGTGTCTCGAAGAGCACGTTTTTTTGTGATGGGAAAATCATCAAATGACTTCACCATTCATTCTCACTCATTGGAATTTTTTTGTATATCATCATCATCTACATCTACATATTTTGTGCTCTTTTTTTTATTTGTTTTATTCATAGTTATTTTGTTTGCATTGTTATAGTTTGTGCCTGGTGTTGTACCGAATAAATGATTTTTCTTTCTTTCTTTCTTCTTTCTTTCTCCCGCCCAGGGCCGGGCGGGAGGGAGTGTCAGACTCTTACTGACTAAAAACCCCTCTGTTCCTTCTCCTGCTCTGGGCCGAAGTCGCGGTGCCTCATTGCGCTTACCACGCAACCCCGGCTGAACATCAGCCCTTTAGGGCCCCGTCTGTGGTGGTCTATTGGCTCTTTGAGGCGCGCGCGGAACGCTACGCGCCGTACGCTCGGGCCTGGTTCTGGTCGGGCGGCGAGCTGCCCTTACTCGCTGACCGCAGACCCGTGCTTACGGTGGCCGGAGATCGTCCCTTGATCCCCGACGTCCGTAGTGTCGCCAGTTTCGGCGGCTGGGGCGTGAGGAGGAGGATTGCTACCTCACGCGGGCCGCCTCTCTCTTTGCGAGGATGACTGCTTCACAAAAGGAGGAGACGGCGTCCCAGTTCCTCTCACTCCGCACCACGGCCTCGACTAAGGCCAGGCGCGAGAGGTCGTCGCCGCCGATCACTTCTCTGAGGTCACGGCGGTGCTCAGCCCAGCCAGGGCATACCGCCACCGTATGCTCCACCGTATCCTCTAGCTGGTCCTCGCAATGACGACACTCGGGGTTTTCCTTCCGCTGGATCCGAAACAGGAGCCTACCGAAGCTGCCGTGCCAGGTAAGGACCTGCGTCAGACGGAAGGCGAGGACGCCGTGGCGTCTCTCAAGCCACTCCTCAAAGAGGGGTCTTACCGCTGCTATAATAGCGTGCCCGTAAGGAGCACGTAGGAGTACATTACATAACATAACACTCTCAGCCGCGCGCGGTTGCGGTTGCAAGCGAAACCATGTACCGCGGCCTTGGCACAAAGCAGGAGAAGGAACGTGATAGTTTCTAGTCAGTAAGAGTCTGGCACTCCGTCTTGCCTCACTCAGGACAAGAGAGGTCATATACAAAACATTCTTAGATTATTGTACCATCAGCTATTTAGCTTTGCATTTTCTTTATTCATTTACATAAAGAAGACAGTGCCGACAAAGTAAAAAGCCACCAAAGAGCTGTTTACTTTTTGTATGAGCGCACAATGAACCCATTTTTTTTTACCCGACCGTAATAGAAACCGCGTTTGTTCTGTTTTTCCAAGAGATCTTTTTAATAAGTATTTTCGTAAAACGAATTTAAAACAAAAGAAATGCAATGTTACCTGCCACTTACATATAATTCACCTTTATTTAGGGCTGATTTTTCAGTGGTTAGATAAAAGTTACCTGGGGAATAATTATGATGCTGTCGCGTCAGAATGTTTGTATAAGACAGTGACAGCAACAATTTTATTCCTCAGTTAACATTATTTGATTATTGAAAAATAAACCTATAATAACATTTTTCTTGGAATAAATATGCGCAGTTAGTGTCAAACGGAGTTATACCACGGCCGCACTGAAAACCGACGTGAAATACTTAGGTTGCATTTCGCCATATGAGTGAGGTTTCCAGTAGCCAAAGCCAAACTCCCTAATCCATAACGACCAAAAGGTCGGCGACGCATTAACAACTCCTCAGGTGTGGTGGGTGTCCATAGGCAGCGGGGATAGCTTACAATTAGGTGATCAGTCTGCTCTTCCATTTATCTCTATCTATTTCCATTAAGAAAATCCGTCCTATGTTTTAACCGGTTTGTTAGCGGTTGAAATAAAAAAATACCCAAATAATTTCAATCGGGAGGGCGGCTTTAAATTGTCGTCGATGTGGAATCCAGTGATTCGCAAAACACAACCTCGCTTTCTTTCAAAGTCGGTTAACACATCTGTGGATATAGTCAGCGTAATGTGTAGACGGCCTAATATGGTAGAAAACGAAAATAAGGGGGTAGATGAAGATTCATCGCCCGAATGCAGGGAGCTGTGACATCGCGTCTTCAGTCTGCTTGTGACCACGACCTGTGCAACCGGGTCGAAACGTCAAGCCTACCAAGGTATTCAAATTATAATTTTCCGCGATTATACCCGCGTAAATATATGTTATTAGACTACAAATAGTGGACCTTCCAAACGAAAACATATCAGAAGAAATTGTTAAACAGGTATTTTATACTACAAATTTAAAATAAGATCTATTAAGATTAAGAAATATTCAACTTAAAATATACCTTTCTTACAGCTAACAAATTATTTGAGGGTATCAAATATAACATTGGAGGGTGACATTGAAGTTTTAAATGTGAGGTAAGTCTAACAACAACTCCGCACTACGTCCGAATCCGGACCTACGAAAATACGGACCGTCGTAGCCATAGAACTATTTATTTAGTAATTTAAGTGTGGGAGAGCCATGCTTCGGCACGAACGGGTCGGCTCGTCCGGAGTGATACCACGGCCTCACAGAAAACCGGCGTGAAACAACCACACTGTTGTGTTTCGCCGTGTGAGTGAGGTTACCGGAGGCCCAATCCTTCCCCTTCCCCAATCTCTCCCCAGTTCCTAAATCTCCAAATCCCTAATCCCTAAAAGGTCGGCAACGCACTCGTAACTCCTCCGTTGCGGGTGTCCATGGGCGGCGCTGATTGCTTACCATCAGTTAATCCATCTACTCGTTTGCCGACCTATTACATAAAAAAAAGTAAGCATTATATATGTAATTTGTCACCGATGTCTTTAAAACAAATCCGTTAAAAAATAACCGATTTTTCTAAACTTTAATTTTCAAGGTTGTGATCAGATTTTGATCAGACAAAGTGTGGAAACCCTCAAAAGCGATAATGTTAGTATCTTACCAACTTATTACAAAACAATTTATCTTTAGTCTAGGTCTTTTGAGACCTTAGGAGGTCTGTTTTTCACATAGAGTCACGTTTTGTATTTTGAATCTCATTTTCAACTACCTGCAATTCTAAATACAAAAACTGGCTTAAAGACCTATACTAAAGAAAAACCTTTTTTTGTCTATTTTATTAGCTTTAGTCATTTGTATAACTTATAGGTAGTTGTAAACTTCCCGACTTCAGTAGTTTTCTAAACAAAAAATATTTTTGTACTGAATATCAATAAGTGTGAGTGAATTTTAGATTATGTATTATAGTATGTTGTCGTGGGGTCACATCATGGTACATGGGCTCATAACATTATTAGCGAAAAAAATAGTTTAAACTGTATACGTACATCGTACCTTTGCTTTCAGCATAATAGCATTTTCGCTCGGAAGTAGCAATTGCGATCACATTTTCTTGGAAAATTCCACTGTTGCATTTCTGGAACAAAACTTAGTTCGTACGTTATTAAGAGTCAAATATTTTGGAGTTTCGTTCGTAGGTCATATTAAGAGCCGCGAATATTTTGGGTCATAGCGAAGATAAGAATGTGCCAAATACCGAAGTACCGTCTTACCTACAAATATGGTACATTAATATTCTTCGTGTGAACGTGTCAACAGCTGCGTCTGCAAAGTTACTGAGAAGTCGATAAGCAGTTTACTATGTAAGAGTAACAAGTAAATATTGAACTACCTTGTTTTTCGATTGGACGCAAATAAGAGCAGATAATATAAAGAGAACATGAACCAAAGATCGAGAACAGGATCGGCCAAAATTTTATTAGTGTTCATTTGGGTTTTTAAGATTTCTTCAGTAAACATCAGGGAGACTGTAAAATGGATAAAGCGCTTGAGAACCCGGTGTCAAAATTATAAATTATCCATCTTCCCTAGTTATTTGTGAAATGCAAAGACGTTACGATATGTTGGAGTGTCACTTCGACTCTTTTACATTATAAAAACTTTCATTTTCAGACTTGACATATATACCAACGACCAGAAGTGTTGGAGGGGTCATACTTCATACTTACTTGTATGGCGTACGATCCCCGTACATTACGTTCACATGGTACAAAGATGGCGTCCAAATCAACTTCAATGGTAATGGTACAACTACAAGGTAAGTTTGTACATTTAGATATTCATTATATTTAACAAATGTCTTTCAATTAAGCGACCAAGGTTGTCCACGGAGTCCACCGTTTTAAAACCATCAAGAAGCGATCTTACTTACTAACCCATCATTTGGCTGAAAACTAGTTTCTGTTTAGTCTCTAAGTCACGCTTAAAAGTTTTTTTTTTTCATTGAACATGACAATTTTAATTTGGCCCTCTCTATCTCACCATTACTTAATTAGTAACTATAAAATCTGCAATGTAAACACTTAACAATCCCAAAATCCAATCTGCTCAACCCAGTCATAAAATTCGTGACTACAATAGTCTGATGCAACCTCGACGAGTTAACGACGCTTTTCAGTCCCAACGGAAAATGGCCACCCATCCAATTACCGGTGACTGTTATTTAACCGCACCGATTAATTCTCCAACTCCCAAAGCGCTCCCATTCTGATGGCTTCATTTCGTAAAGTCGAAAATGAGACCGTCCTGTCCTGTCACGTTCAATTAAGCTGCGATTTTTGCGATTTGTTTTTTTGCTATTGAATCGTAGGTATGTACTTACTTGGGTAATTTTTGATCTCAGTTTTTGACACAATAAATTATTGGTCAAAATATGTCTTTTTTTAGAGATATTTGGACGAGAACAGCTGTAGAAGACGCACTCGGCCGTCGTTTGTCAGTGCTAGGTGTAACAGAGGCGGAGAGATTAGATAGTGGGAAGTGGTCCGGTGCTGCAGACGATGCTGGCAGGAGACGCTGCAGGGCGTTGAGACTGACAGTGCTGAGACCTCCTGAGATACACTTGGTCCCGTCCACATTGACTGTTAATAAAGTAAGCTCACTAAACGTTTCAGAATTATGAAGTGTTCATAAATTGAAGTCGCACTATATGTCTATATTTATGCCTAATTCCAGGGTGACAATGTAAGTATAACCTGTCTGGCTGGAACTGCAAGAGTACATGGTGCAGCTGGATTTAGTTGGGCAAAAGAGAGAACTCTGCTACCCATGGTGGACAGTTATAGAGGTCTGGGAGGATTTATATCCAGCAGGCAGTGTGCTAAAGCTTTACAATGTACAGGTGCAGAAATCAATCTATTTATTACTTTTAGTTCCTAAAAAGTTTTTTTTATTATAATCTGTTTTGTACAGAATTCCAATGTGTTTCTTTGTCAAGTGCGTCTGTGGCTGGCACAAACGCTAAAGCTGTAACCATGTGGGCTCTGGGAACTGGGAACGTGGCGTGTGAGAATGAAACTTCCCATGGCATTCGCTGGCCGAGGACCGCTCCTGGAGCACACGCTACTTCTTCCTGTCCAGCAGGATACAGCGGTTATAATAAAAAGTTGTCAGTGTACTTAGAGACAATTCTTTATTTCTTTATTTCTTGCTTTGCAGATGAACCACAAGCTGCCGCCCGACAGACGCGAGTACGTGCGGGAACGTGCGGGAACGTGGGCGAGTGGTGCGCCATACATTAGCGCTACTCTTCACTACTACAGCGACACAGATTGCAGGGGTAGCTTACGCGCAGCCTGGGGAGAGGACTATACTTAAAGTTGTAGCGCTTTTTGTCGCTGTATTAGCCAATGTAAGGACCATATAGGCGTAGCCTTAGACTTATTGCGAAAATATTGATAAAGTTATTACTCTTCCGGACCAATACAGACTCTGCGACCTCATACCTATCGGTAATAATTTTATTATACCTATATAAGTATTTAGTACCTTTGGTCTCAAGATGTGGCCTTTTCCTAGCCGCCGAAGTCACCAGATCTTAAACAGTTCCACTACACAGTAATATAGTAGCCCTACACAGTTCCGTTAAGTTATACCACTTCAAGATTGTCAGATGTCAATTTTATCAACTCTTACTACCTGTTCATACTATTATAGAACTTTGTACATACAATGACTAAGAAATAACGATATAGTTTTCCAGAATAAAACTCATAGACTGGTTCACTATTTCAGCTAGTGATACAGGTGAGAGCAGGTAATCCTGAGTTGCGTGAATTGCCATCGCCACTACTACCCGCCGAACCACACAAATGCCGTACCCTGGAGACTAGTCCGATACACCTAAGGTAGCTTTTAAATCTAATAATTTATTCAGATTACTACAAATTAAGGAAGTACTTGATTAATTTTTATTATGATTTAATTTAAAATTTTATCAATCTAGTTCTATAATTGAAATTTTCCAGGATAGCTGTAAAATCTGCACCCAATCAACTCCCGACGAAGTAAACACAGTACCACGTCCTATCAAGAGCTGCCTCAAGAAGCGTTCGCACCAGCTGTCGTGGAGTACCTCACTGCCGTCCATCCACCACGAAAGCAACGAGCAGAACAACTCCCACCTACAGCTAGTGGACACACAGTCCCAAACCCCGAGCACGCACACCACATTCACACAGACAGACAAAGTGCTGCACAAGATATCCCACGACCTGGACTTCCTGCTCAACAGGACGCCCAGTCGCGTCGCGGACAACTGTCCGCAACAGATAGAGGAAGCACCCACTTAGTGCACGGAGATGTAACGTGTAACTGTAAGATAGTTGATAATATGTAAACAGTGAACAAAGATGTGTAGACAAGAGCAATAAAACTGTAGTGCCCTCTGCCAGTTTAAACGTGGAAAGGCATCTGCAACATCAGGGGACTTCATACCAACCTCAATGCTGTCCAAAGCGGGCCTAGGTTTATTTGAGCGAGACGATATCGTCCCTGTCCGACACTTCTTAGCTAACATACACTGGGTATGGACTGTAACATACTTTCCTTCCGTTAAGGAAGATATCAGATCTCGTCGCCTCAAAAACCTTTTCATCTTATGGCTACGATTAGATAGCGACGACCACCCCCGCATGCCTCTTTATAGGTCCTATAGCGGCGATAGCGAGACTGACCGCCTCAATAAAACTCTTCCATGTGGCTGTAGATTTTGTACAGGGGCTGTCAGCGGAGGTCACTACTTGGTTGGTTTTGGGGGCTGAGTCACCCGCGTCCTTAGGAGAATAACCACAGTTAGGCCCTACACGTGGTCCCCAGGTGGTGCTAATCAGGTGACACTAGCTGGTAGTAGGTTTCGACCGATGGCTTGTGACCACCCACTGGGCAAAGACGTACCGCCAAGCGGCCTAGCCGTGTTCCGGTACGATGCCCTGTGTAGCCACTTCTGAGGAAATGGGTTCCAACCCCGGGTGGCGGTTCCTATGCATGCAGACCAGCCGGCCTCACGCTGGTATTGACATATCGGGAGACTAGTCGAGGAGGGTAGCGAGATCCGAGGCACGGTGCACCGCTGGCCGACCGCGGTTAGTAGGGGGTCCAAGTAATGTGCTAGCCACACGTAAAAGGCTGCCCCGCCAACTGACGAAAAATCCCGGAATGCACCATCGTGCCGGTTGGCGACCAGATGAGAGGGCCCGATGGTCATTTCCGGGGGGGCTCGGGCGTCCCCGCAGTCTCCAGACTAGTACCCCAATGATGCTGTCCCACCGGTGCGCGACCGAAGGTTGGCTGCATAGGGTTCCATCTCACTTCCTTCTCCTCATATCTTCTTCACTCATAATATGCCAAGGTCCAAGAAAAAGAGAAACGGTACACAGCGGCTGCACTCCCTCTCAGTTAAAGTGCACCTCAGCAATATTCGACGTCGCATTTTGGCCCTTGGCTAAGTCGGTTGAATCGAACTTCTGCCGCCCCTCACTACCGCCATTGCTGAGGCCCGACGGTTCGCTGGCCCACACCGCTAAGGAGAAAGCAAATCTGTTTGCCTCCCTCTTCGCGGAATCTTCGCGTCTAGATCCCGGTGACGCGCGGCCCCCTGCTTATCCTGATGGTTGTGAGACGGGTATGTCAGACATTCGCATCCATCAGAAGGACGTCCGTAGGGTGCTACGTAACCTAGACGTGAACAAGGCTAGCCGTCCTGACGGGATACCGGCAATCGTACTGAAAACGTGTGCGTCAGAATTGACTCCAATCCTGACACGCCTATTTAGGCTTTCATTTGAGGCTGGAAAAGTGCCGAATGCATGAAAGCAAGCTAACGTACAGGCCGTGCCCAAAAAGGGTAGTCGCGCTGACCCAGCTAACTACAGGCCCATCTCAGTAACGTCCATTCTCTGTAAGACAATGGAACGTGTCATCATCAGCCTATAAGTGCCCACTGCCGAGCAAAGGCCTCTTCTCACACGGAGAAGGTTAGAGCATTAATCACCACGCTTGCTCAATGCGGGTTGGTGATTTCAAATGTCAGTGGTGTCTAAATAATCATAGAAAGTAAATATAACTCGGAAAAAGTCACATTGGTACTTGCCAGGTTTCGAACCCGCACCCTCATGCATGAGAAGCGGGCGCCTTAATAATGAACGTGGAACGTGTGCTGAACACAAAACTCCTGGCATACCTAGAAGCCAATGACGTCTTAAGTGACCGACAATACGGATTTCGCCGGAATCGGTCCACAGGTGATCTTCTAGCGTATGCCATCCACATCTGGAGTGAGGCCATCGAGAAACACGGGGAAGCGCTTGCCGTCTCCCTTGACATCTCGAAGGCTTTCGATAGGGTATGGCACGAAAGCCTTAATTCTCAGTAAGCTTCCTTCATTCGGTTTACCCACTGGATTGTGTGTTTGGATCGCAGACTTTCTGAGGGACCGTTCCATCCGTGTGGTCATCGATGATTGCTCGTCGAGCCAAATGACCATCAATGCTGGGGTCAGTGCTCTCGGCAACATTGTTCTTGTTGCACATAAATGACCTGCTTAAGCCCGGTACCTTTGGGTATGCAGATGACAGCACTGTTGCTGAGAGTTACACGTCCGGCGCACCAGCTAATGGGTCACAGATCCAGACTCTTCGAGAGACTATGGTTGGGCGCTTGAACTCGTCCTTGGAGGCTGTCTCTAAATGGGGCGATGCCAACATGGTCAGGTTCAATGCAGCTAAAACTCAGGCGTGTCTATTTTCCAGTAAAAGGAGTCAATTTAGCCCTGCTCCAACTTTCCGGGGTGTATCCGTGCCGATAACTGACCATCTTGATCTTCTTGGTATAACGCTGACATCTACTCTCAATTTTGGGCCATACATCGAAGCAAAAGCTCAACTGGCTGCAAAAAAGTTGGGAATGCTCGCAAGGGTTAGACAATACTTCACGCCGGAACAGCTGCTTAAACTTTATCAGGCGCAAGTTCGATCGGTCATGGAGTACTGCTCTCATCTTTGGGACGGATCTGCCCGATACCAACTTGATGTGCTTGAGTCTATTGAGAGGCGAGCCAAGAGGATCATTGGCGATGATGCACTTGTCGAGTCGAGACTTCAAAGTCTGGACCATCGACGCCGAGTTGCATTTCGGGGAATGTGCGTTGGAATTACATAATTTAATTCCGACGAGCCCGTTCCATCATCGGACCACCAGACGTACGGCATGCGCCACCGGTACATGGTGGTTCCTTGCCGAAGTCGGTGTTCCCTGATAGTTACAATCTGGGTATCATTAAGTCAAGAGTGAATAGGTTACTTCTAGGTAAGCGCGCTCCATCGTCGACCGCATCGTCGCTTTCCATCAGGTGAGATAGCGGTCAAGCGCGAACCTATAACCAATAAAAAAAAATGGTGATGGTTAATGCCAACCATGCTACCAAGCTTGGCTCCGACTGACCACACGACACGGGGAGTACTTTCCACAAATTTGCTTTTACATCTGGTATAATTAAATAAGATGCCATTCCCGCGCGAATCCCAGCTGTGAAGAAACAGAGACCTTCACTGTTTGATCTACTGATCTCTCATCCGGACGGCTATCGAGTTGAGGTTCGGTTGAGTTGTTGAGGTTGACTAATTGACGCTCCTATTGGCTCATCAGACCATTGCCTCTTCCGGAGTATGGCGATTTGTGCGGGCGCGCCGTGAGTCCAAATTAATCGCAATCTCCCATTATGCCACTACAGGTCAGCAGATTGGGTTGTGACGAGATCCTTCTTTGCATCCTACTCTTTTAAGACGAGTTTGCTCTCAGCTGACTCTGTAGCTGATATGGTGCTGCAGGGGATGGAACTTTTCGTTCCGTCGTCTGCAGTCCCCGTCGGTGGCAGATCTCGGCTTTGGTGTAGCTTTCTTTTTTTGGTTTCTTCTAGAAAAGCTTCACGCAGGTGGCGAGAGGCCTGCTGATGGGGTGGCGGCACGAAATTAACATCGGGAACTAGCGCGGTTTGGTCTCTCGCCAAAGCTATCGAAGGCAATTTCTACAGGCCATCATTTCCGCCTCTGTTCATCTGGGGAGAATCGTTGGCGATGGAGGGCCCAGCTATTAAGTAAATACTTACCCCCTTACTAATAAAAATTTACACACATCTTATAACAGAGGTATATCACACTCATTACTAATAATCAACATTTGACATTTCTCGCGTATACAGCTGTTATAACCGTTGTGAAAATTGTATGAAATGTTAGACAAGACTTATTCAGCCCGTGGACCTTGTTTAACGTGTGAATAAGCGATCATTTTCGTGTTTTAACTGTCAGACGCATAAAATAGATTTTTACATTATTTTGATAAAATGTGTTTGATGATGATGAATTCCGAAAAATCAACAAAAGAGAAAGAAAAGGAATTATCAACGATCCTTATGAATTCTTTTCCTTAGAGATCCTTCATTAGATGGTGCAGAGTTTATAAGAAAATATAGATTTTCAAAGAAACAAACTTATTGAAGTTGTGGATTTGCTATGTACAGCATAGGACTAAGAGTGACGGTCTCCCAGCAGGAATCCATGTCTGTATAGCTCTAGGAGCCATGCCTTGACACGACAAAAAGATCAAGCCGATGCAGCTGATATCCATGGAATGAGTCAGTAACCTATCACAAACCTGTGTCGCAGAGTATCTATCGTATTAGCAAGACGAGTCGCATTTCGAAGAATTTGTTACCTACTTTAGAAATGTGATTGCTTGAATAAGGCATAAATATTTAATAAAATCAAACATCCGGAGTCAGTATTTTTATTTTCGTCGATACCCAATAATTGCTTGACTTAGGTACAACCAGGGTGTTATTCCTAAAAAGGCAAAACAACTATCGCATTACTGTTTCCAAATAAACATAATATTTTGTTATTTTTACAAGAACACATTTATATTCACACTATCAAATATAGGATAAAAATTAATACGTGGCATAGAAGTGTAACGAAATATCCGTATAGATACAGATACGTATTACAAATACAATATTTATAACAGTTATTTGTACGTTCATTAATATATTACTATAAATACATATATATTATATATTACTATACATAAACTAATTTCAAATATCTACTCGTCAGAACCAGCTGACTGGCAGTTGACTAACCAGAAGAGGGGGTATGATGGCGATATAAGCCGTAATTTTGAAGGAGATTGTGAAGTTTGAAAATCGCTTGACGTGGTGATAATGTGTCTTAATACATATAACATTATTTTAGATCAATTATAGCTAAAGGAATTTAAGATCAGCTGCCTAAAT